TTGATGTAGCCATTCTAGTCGAAAATCTTAAACATCTAACTATGCTCTGCTGTACAAGTGCAATAAATTTTATGATTAAACTTCCAGATTTTTAGTTTTCTTATATTCGTTTTTGGGGCGGGGTGAGACGCTTGACATCCGCAAACCACAAGGAGTGTGTTCGGAGCCATTTTTCCATACCTTCGCTTGCACGTTAGAATCATACTCGAGCTCATGGATAGAGGCATGTCTTGATGTGTTCCGCTAGGCCTATCTAATAAGAGCAGGCAGGAAGGTATTGCTCATCCCTCTGGGTGCTCCTGTGTTCACATGTGGGAATAGCAAATGGTGATGCATAGTGTCGTGGCACCTCTTGAGGCGATTTCAAATTGTAAATAGATTCCACCTGTGTCACCGGGCGTCCCGTTGATCATCGATTTACTCGATTATCCCCCAGTAACGTCTCCATTCATCTCTTTTGCGAGCCGGAGTAGTTCGTACTAATCGTACTCGCTCGAGGGACATGAGGCCCAGCAGAGCCTCATGAAGAAGTGTGACACCGCGATGACAAGGGCATAAAGACAGGATAAACAGGGAACCTACTCACTGAATCCACCTGTGATCTCTTCTTTCAACGCACGAACATTTGCATCAGAAGCGTGTAACGAAGACCTGATGATGCAAGCTAGGATAATCAACTGACCTGAACTGAAGTAGGACTGACCGAGACGAGCAGGCATCGTCGCCGCATGCCTTTCTCGTAATTGCGAAGAACTGTTTGATGGGGATATGCGGCTACAGCCGAGCTTCGGTGGTGTATGTGTACTCGTTAACACGCACTGACCATAACCATCGACTCGTACGAAAGGTTCACAACCCGAACCGGACGTTAACGGTTGAGAAGATGTAGCTCGACCTAAGCTCTAACGATCTCTTGGCTCTAACGGTGTCTACGCATTCTTATCGTGAACTGTACGTTTAAATGCCGGACGCTCTTAGAGAATTTTGTCTACATCTTCAGTCTAAAACAACCAGTGTGCATGCAGGTGTCTCTGAACTTGTCCACTGATAGGCATTAAATCATGGCCGTTGCAAGCCATAAATTGACCATAACAAGTTCGAGATGGTAATTTAAGAACCAGTATAAGCCAAAGACCGGTAGATGTGTATTGCTTCGGTTCAGGAAGTCATTTTAGCTCTGCCTGAATTTGCAGAACCGGTAAAGCATACCATAGCTGGACACACCCTTGAAGGACAGCGATTTTTCTGCCAAGTTATAACTTCTAATAGTGTGGATCCACAAGTGCATTCTGGTGGTCAGGAAAACGACCATCCTTATAAACAGAGAAATCTTGTGAAGTGGGGTTGTAAGAGCGAAGAACAAGAGAGCTGACACGATTTGAAGAGCGGTGATGGGTTCAGAACGAATTGCGTAAGAGAGAAAGTGACGAATGCGAACCAGGCGCTAAATGGAAAAGCAGCGGATCTGCCTGCGCCGCTAAACAACTACACCGACCCCATAAAATCACCGCTTGAACAGTTCCTGCTCTGCTACTATATATGCTTCACCTTTCCTGACTTACTACATCGTCAAACAAATGTTCGTCCCTCTCGCTATCCTCAGCTTCCTCTTCATAACTGTACAATCACAGTACTACTCCTACTACCCTCAATACGGCTACGCCCAACCGACCTACTATTCGAGGGGTTCTTACGGGTACAGTCCGTACTCTTCCTATGGATACTACCAATATCCCGGCTACTACCAGCAGTACAACAGTTATCGAGCCCCATCGCTTTTGGGAAGCTTGTTTGGTGGTGGTGGGTACAACGTCGATCAGTACGGGAACAAGTACATCGGTACTACGAGAAATGGTTTTTTCCTCACGTGTAATGGTCGAGGATGTGCTACAAGAGGATAGAGAGACAGACGACAT